TTTTGCGTTACAGATTTTCTACAAGACACGTTGTAATTCATAATACCGCCGTTTGTTATAAAAATTAATTCATACTACCGCCGCCATTTTGTTATAAAAATTAATACATAACACCGCCATTTTGTTATAAAAATTAATTCATAATACCACCATTTTGTAATAAAATAATTATGGTTAGCAGTTTAAATAATTATAATATATAAATAAATATAAAATAATTATGGTTGGCTTTCTGAACCTGAACAGTAGTTTTATTATTCTGATCCATTGGATCCTGTTTCTTTCTAAAGATAAGCCTGAAATATTTCCGAGAAGTTCCGATTGTGCGTTCCCAAAAATTCCATTCCATTCGGTTGCTTCATCCGATCTCGTCCGATTTCATCCAAATCGACGACAAAGCAAAAGCAAAGGCCAAATAATAATAATATAATATTCGTATGAACACGTGTTCATTTCGTCAGAGGACGTCTCTCTCTTCTCTCTTCGGAGTTCCCTTGAATTTTGACCCATACGCCACGATGAATACAAAATTTATATAATACACACAATAACTGAACATTTTTGTTCAAAGTAACAAAAAAATGTATATATATATACGTAATTATAGGTAATTTAATTACCTTTCTAATGATATATAATAATAATAATATTTAATTAAATTATAACAAAATAAATAAAATTATAAGCCAACACGATGAGGGGTGCCTTATGAAGATTTTGATTTCAAAGATTAATGAATTATTTTTTCAAAATTTTGTTCCAACATATACAAGTTGTTAAATACAGATTTATAGATAATTTTATTAAGTTTTTAACGATATATCATAATACATTAGTATAAAAATGAATTTTATCAGAATCATGCCAAATGTAAAAAAAATGTAACCAATGAAATCCATCAATGGGTGACGAAATTTTGAACTTACTATATTTTTCTTAATTAATTTTGTTTGAAAAGTTATGAAACGTAATATATAGGTTTATAGATAATTTTATAAACTTTTAACGATATATCAGTAACCAATGAAATTCACCAATGGCTAACTAAATTATAAATTTACTAGTATTTTCTTATTTAATTTTGCTTGAAGAGATATAAAACGTTATGAACAGATTTGTAGAATATATATATATATATATATACTTATAAATTATGTATATATGTATAAATAAAATTATGACTTCCATTAAATTCATGATTTCTTTATTTATTTCATTATGCATTAATTTCCATTGTATTTCTTCTACAAAATCTAATTTTTTTTTTTTCTTTTTTCCAGAATTCAGACAAAAGCCCGCAACCCAATGGTGAGCGACAATTGTCCTGCTAGTTTCTAAGAACTTCATCAAAAATTGTTCGTGTGAGAAAGAATAAAATACATTATCGATTATATCAATCATCGATAAAGCTGTGTGAACTGAAAATAGTTATTCGTTATGGCAGAATTCGAGTGACCTTTATTATAAATATATTATATTTGTTATTTTATTTTAGAATTTATATTTTTTATAATTTGTATAAATATTAGAGATTTTATTATCTTAAGTGGATAAATGATGATATGGATGTGTGTGGAAAATTGTGTTTGCTTATTTTCAATTAGTTTTAATAATAATTTTAAAAAGTTGGCGCATTTGTAACAATTGTTTTGTATTTGAAATTGTAAACTGCCAATACTCTTCCTCATTGTAAATATTAAGTTGTAATTTACCAACTGCAGTAATACCCCAGGATATATATATATATATATATATATATATATATATTATATATAGGGTATTACTGTCCATTATCCTTTTACCAATTTCTTTTCTATTGTTACTGTGTACATAATAATGTTCGATTTGTGAATCCCTTCCCCCAAAAGTGTGTCGATATTTATATTTTTACAGAACAAATGGTCCCGACTTGGCTGTGCTGTATAATTCTGTATTATGTGCACATAAACTTTTCTTATGTGCGTGAAGAACACATTATTGAAATGACATGTATGCGTCTATCATTATTATTATTATTTTAACATGGAAGACCATTTAATGTAAATTGTTCTGTGATTTAATAGATTACTGTACAAAATGTATAGAAATATAAAATATTACTATTATGATCATATGATAAAAATAATTAAATAAAGAATTAATAAATGATAAGTTATTGTTTTGCTGCTTGGATTTTCAGGAATAATTATCAATGATAATCAAATATAGAAATTTGAATTGTAGAATTGCCCCATTAATTTAATTATAATTATACCGAGTTGCTGTAGAGCTTTGTAATGTTAGAAACTATTACAGTTTATTTAATTTTGAACAAATTTGCCAAACATACTAATCATTTTAGACAAGTTACAAAAGATATAACAAATAAATACATAAATCTTAGTTCATTTTCTGGATTTTAAAGTATACCAAGTTGCTTCAAGTACGTAGACAATATTATAAACAAAATAATTTTGTACAAATTGTTCTAATACTGCATTTGTATGAGACTTAACATTTAAAAGTTACAACGAATACAATAAATAAATAGACATTTAAAGACTTTTGCATAAATTGTCTATTTTTAAATGCTGTTTTTAAGAATACCAAGTTGTTCTAGAACATTATAATATTAGACAGTATTAAAGATTATTAAATTTTGAACAAAATTGCCAAATATTTCGTTTTAATTAAAGAAACGTTTCAAAAGTTACAAGAGACAAAGTATAGTCAAACAATTGACTATATATTTTATTAAACTGTGATGTATATTACATTTTTTATTGTGATTTTAAAGTATAACGAGTTGCTGTAAAGCATCACAATGTAAGACATTGTTTAAGATTGTTAAATTTTGAATAATTTTGCTGAATATTTTGTTAACATCAGACAAATCGTTTAAAAGTTACAAAAGATCTGATTAAAGAGATGCACTATCACAAAAATTGTTTTGGTTTCAAATACTGTTTTAAAGTATATCGAGTTGTTTTTGGACATTATAATATTAAACAGTATTAAAGATTATTACACTTTGAACAAATTTACCAAATATTGCATTTAGATTAAAGAAGATTTCAAAAGTTACAAGAGGCAAAGTATAGTCAAACAAATAACTAGGTATTTTATTGTAATGTATATTATATTTTTTATTGGAATTTTAAAGAACACTGAGATGTTGTAGAGCATCATAATGTCTTACATTTTTATAGATAATTAAATTTTGAATAAATTTGCTGAATATTTTGTTAACATCAGACAAATTGTTTTAAAGGTTACAACGGATACAATAAATAAATGCACATTTATATGGGCTCATGAGTTAGAACTTAATGCAGATTATTCAATTTTCAATAAACTTTCAAAACATGTTATTTGCTTTCAACAAATAATTTAAATGTTATAAATCAATTAATAAAAAATGAGTGTAGTTCTAACATTTAGGTATAAAAATCTTAGCAATAACTCAATTATGCACTCAAATTTTAATTCAAACAACCCTTAAATATGCTACATTGTTCACAAGATGTAAATTGTAACCTCTAGCAAAAAATGTTAACACAAAACAATTCAAAACATTTTAAATGAATAATTTAAGTGTATAAGTGTATAAATAACAATCACACTATCAAAATTATACAGTTTATTCAAAACTTAATTATAAAAACATATAAACTCTTATTAATTAACTTTTCAAGTCTGTCGTCACAGCCAAACTTTCTGGTATTATCCTAGCAACTTTTCTAGGCTGTTTAATTAAAGTATTCGGACACTGAACTTCTGTCCAACTAACAGGTACCATAGGTACCCCGGCAGGGCTCATAGATGCAACAAACACCTAGCTCATTTTCAGCTGTTGTCAATTGATAACAATGTAATTCTGTAATCGGCAGCTGATAAAACAATTAAGGAGGATATATGTTAAGGTAAAAATTAAGGTATTTGTAAAAGTAAAGGATACAACTCTAGCTAAATTATGTCCCCGGGTCGTACACATTTATATATGTCAACTCTGTCTTTTTCTGTAGCTCTGACGTCTTCTTTACGTAAAATCCCTCTTAGGTAAAAGATTTAAGTGAATCAATGCAGCATGTGTTAAAATTTGAGTGCAAATGTAGTTGTACATACCTATAGCTTCTGGACAATGTAGTATCACCGATACATATTATATTACAACGAGCTACCCTTTGATTTACAATCATTACTTTGGCTGTGACAATGTCTCCTGGTGCAGGCACAATACTTTGACCGACTAATGATTGCACTTCTATTGTTCGATTCTGCAAACATAATTGGTAAATAATGGAATAAAACTATGTTAATCTAGTTCAATTATTATATTTACCTCTTTTTCTATAGTTATATTGACAATGCCAGCTAATTTGGAATAAATGTATCCCTGACGTTCATATGTGCCATCTCCTGAAATTGTTTTGTCGTCACACAGACACAACCTTTGTCCAGGTAAACATATTAGATTATTTTTGTCCATGACTACAACCTAATTATTTCTTAAATTTTATATTAATACTATGACACTGCAAAGGAATTGTTTTATTTGTTAGACTTGTGGATTGCATTTAAATTTTGAGGTTAGATTTTCAAATAACAGAAGTACCATCTAGCAACATTTGTTGAAACTAAATGGTTCATTTCCATAATATAAAAACCGCTTAATTTGAAAATTTATAATTCAGAAATAGTTTATTATAACTTTACCGCAAATTTTAAATTTGTTGTACATTCTAGAAAGTTTTGTATAAACAAATATTCTCTATTACAAATGTATATATTTTTTCATAAATTAATATCTTCTATGTACAAATTAATTTAGTTACAATTGTTAATTTTACTGTTGCTTAGATCATAATTTTATTCAAAAATATTGTTTAGTATTTAATTCAAAAATTTAAACACTAACTTAGTAATAATGATACAATTTTATTATAAAATATCACATCAATCACATTGTTGATAACAAAACAATATAAAAAGTGAATAAATTTGTGGAAATTAAATATTTTTTAAAAATAAGAAACATTTTCCATTCCTTCAGGCATATATGTGAGATTTGACTCATCCTTATGACGCATGTTATATCCTTTTCCATATCCTAAAAACCAACACAAAATATTAAAACATTTTTGAAAATAGTTCTATAATTATTATAAAATTCAAACCTAGCTCTTTCATAAGTTTTGTGGGAGCATTTCTTAAATGTAATGGCACTGGAGGTAAATTTCCACGACAATTTTCAATAGAGCTGCCACATCTAAAAATATTAGTATATAAATATGTATATATATTTTAATACCATGGGTATTACGAATGCATCTTAATTATTACTTACTCCAACATTGCTCTATAAACTTCCTGGCTTTTTGGAGCCCTAGCTAGATAAACAGCACATTGAGCAAGCAATACATCACATTCCGGCATTCCAATAAGTTGTGCACCTTGAGCAGCAGCAACTGCTAGCGACAATGCATGAGGATCAGCTAAACCTGAAATAATTACATTATTTTCCAAGGTAACATTTGAATGAGTTGAGTTAATAAACCTATATCTTCGCTTGCAGCACGCATCAATCTGCGAGCAATAAATCTAGGATCATCGCCTCCCTTTAACATCCTAGTGCACCAATAAAGAGCAGCGTTATCATCTGATGCTCTTATAGATTTGTGCAATGCTGAAATTGTATCGTAGTGCTGATCACCTTTACTGTCATACAACATGTGAGACCTCTAAAAGAGAAATATAATATGTATTTACTGTAAAGTAATTTAAAATTATCTTAGGTACCTTTATGCCATCTTTGATGTTTTCAACAGTCATCAAACTAGGTTTAGACTTGTCACTAGTTTCTTTTAAAGATTGTACAGCCAGCTGTAAACTGTTTAAAGCTATTCGTGCATCTCCATCACACATTTCTGCCAACCATTTTATGGAAGCTCTTTCAACTAGAAGACTATAAATATTATAAGGTATTTATTTACACAATTGCTTTGTTTTGGCACATACTTAGCATTTGAATTAACATCTTTAGAATTTTCAATTATCACAGCTTTATATGCTCCCAGAGCCCTTGTTAATATTTGCATTAAGTTATCAACTTCTAACTTTTGTAAAACAATAACACGACATCTGCTTAGCAAAGCGTTGTTAAGACTGAAAGATGGGTTTTCTGTTGTAGCACCTATCAAAGTTATAACACCTGACTCTACGTGAGGAAGAAACGTATCTTGTTGAAGCTTGTTAAATCTGTGAATTTCATCCATGAACAATATAGTACGTCTTTTGAACTTCTGTTCGTTTTTTGCAACTTCTATTATTTTTTTAACATCATTCACACCAGCCATTGTTGCAGATAATTTCACAAATCGAACTGATTGAGATTGTTTGCACTTGCTAGCAATTATATGTGCTAAAGTAGTCTGGAATAAAAGAACAATAACGAGAATGGTAGACACTAAGTTAGTATTTTGATGTTTTTACTTTTCCACAGCCTGGAGGTCCCCAGAGTATCATACTAGGTATCTCTGTCTTTTCAAGCAATGTTCTTAAAACCATACCGCTTCCCAGGACATGTTGTTGTCCTATGTATTGGTCTATACAGTCTGGACGCATAATTTCAGCTAGAGGTTTTGTTAAATCGCATTCCGGAAGCTTCTTTTTATTGATCTCCTTGATTTCTGGCTCTACCTAATAAGACAAAACTCTGTGAGCCATAACTATACCTAATAGAATACAGTTTGTTAGTAGAATTTGTTACCGGTTGTGAATCTTCATCATTATCATCGTCATCATCATCACTCAGCTGAATTACTTTATTTGTTTTGAAGAAGTTAGTGCCTTGTACCCCATTATTTGTATCCTTTACCTTACGTTTGTTATCAAAAACAGGAGATTTTCTGCTTGTACTTGTACCATCATTTTCCTTGAACCGTTTTTCAGGCGCTTCTAAAGTATGACTTCTTCTTTTATTTTTGTCATTCATTGTAGGTTCCTCCTGAGTGTGTAGAAAAATACATTTTTCAACGTGAATTTCTATATTTTCTGCGACTTCTTTATTACAAACTGGACATTCCATTGTAAATAAATTGCTAAAAAAAATAATTATTTAAATTTCAAAGAACCATCTTCATGCAACTGTTGACAGACAGTAAAACGTAATGCCAACATAATTAACTGTCAAAACATTTTGGCGGGATAGTTGCATTATTTGAATTCGTATTTTGATCTTTTTTATATTACGAATGATTGTTTGTAAAAAGAATAAAAGCTAAAT